CCAGGAATCAATTCTGGGAATCCATTTCTTCAACTAACCAGGGCTAAAATGAGTCATAGCTCTGACTATCAGACTTCCTTAGAAATCTGTGACAGATAATTAAGACCACCAATGCTCCTTACCCAGTAACATTCTAGGCCCTGGGCTTCTAAGAATGACTCCCTTCTCCCTAGAATCAAAGAGGGAATATGGTAAACTTGGGCCTAACCTCTCTCCTTTCAGGGATTTTAAATGTTATTGTAAACTTGGCATGGATGGTTGTATATGGAAATTTCTCAGGTCAAATTACTTATTATCAAAAGATATCTTAAACTTTCTGGAGACCACTGAGTAGTAATGGTGGAACATGAATATAACTGCACAAGAAATTCTCCTGAGCTCTATTGAAGAGCAGACTTGAACTCATACCCCTCATTCTGCTTCCTAATGTTAAGTATCCTAGCATATATAATCTCTTGATTCCTAGGCAGTGTCTATCTGAATACCCCCTCAATTTTGATCTATTAAAGGGTTGGAGGAAATGGATGACAATATAGGACAAGAGGATGTTAGTGAAGATGATTTCTTTGGGTTCTACCAAGCTATAAAGTTTGTCTGTTGAGAGTCTTACTCAGCAGTTATGAGTTTTCCCACCCCATCAGCACCATGGGTGATTCAGCTCACAGTAGAACCTGGCCGTCAAGACATCTACAGACTAGGTACAAAGGATAAGACCATAAAGTAGTGAGACATCATAAAAGTAAGCAGAGCTTCTGACTACCAGGACTAAATAAATTTCTGTAACTTCTGGGAATACACTGCCTTTTCTACAAATTTACAATCACTTGGGAAGATATAGAGATCACTTATTTCAGACTAAGGCCACTTTTCCTGTGAAATTACTTTACAGGGAGAGGAAAGGCAGCAACAGGCAGCATTAACAGCATTTACAGTTCTTTTGAACTTACCCAATCCACATTTCCCCAGTGTTGTACCTTACTCTTTCTTTCATCCAGGGTGACCTATTGGAAATTGGTTCACAGTACCTGCCTGACAATACTAACGAAGGAAAAATAAATAAGCAAAGATAGAGTTCAATTTCATGAGACTCCTTCATTATTTCTGTGGTACTTGGGGGACAATGGGAGAATGGGGAAGTGGCCTGTCACTAAGAAGCCTCTGTTTTATATTCCTCAAGCAACCTCATAACATTCTGCAGAGGCGCCTCATGGAAACCAACCTGTCTAAGCTCCGAAGCAGTCGTGTTCCTTGGGCCTCCAAGACCAACAAACTCAATCAGGCTAAGTCTGAAGGACTAAAGAAGTCTGAGGATGATGACATGATTTTGGTTTCTTGCCAGGTAATGTTCAGAGAATAGCTTTTCCAGGATTTTCTGGAAAGCAAGTTTTGGGCCCCTCTGTGATTTGAATAATAGGCTCTATCCTCCAAACTTTATAGATTGTGAATCTTATGAACTTATAAGTGAGTTGTCAAAGGGCCATTCCATGCAACACTGGATGTGTATGCGATATTTGTATGCTTGTCCATCTTTATGAGAAGGACCAAGGCTTTCCTCAGATTTACAAAGGGGAATGTGATTTTAAGAAAGATTCAGAGCTACTTGGTGTATAGAATGAAACACCAAAAGTTCTTTGGAATATTTCAGCAGGGAAAATAGCCAGTCAGTAGCAGATTTGGCAGTGGACACTGTCAACCCATAATGGGAGGATGCTCTCCAACCCTTTCATTTGACATCTGCTGCTTGCTTTCTGCATCTCCCTTCCCTTTTACTTCTCTGCCTCCTGCTGAACAGTATGCTTCATTCCCACAGTGTGCTGGGAAGGATGTGAAAGCCTTGGTTGACACAGGCTGTCAGTATAATCTCATATCCTCAGCCTGCGTGGACAGATTGGGGTAAGTTGCCACTTGTGATGTGTGGAAGTCAGGTGTGAATGCACTCTTTGCTTAAATATCTTTTGAAGCTAGAGATAGTGAGGGTCTCCACAGAAGCAAAAAAGAGAAATATGCAAAACTCAGATCTCAGCTGGAACCAGATTTCTTAGCAGACAAGAGAATGGTAGGTAGTTAGGTGACTAGGAGCAATCAGTAAGCTGGAAAGCACTGGAGCTTTCTGTTAACTCCTCTTAGGTTTTGAGCGAGATCTCCAGATTCTGGAATGAAAGAATATGACACTCCTGCTTCCATCTGTGCCTTGCTTTGGTTCACCAGACACAGATGAGAAGTAAATGCCCTATTGTTTTACCATAAATGAGTAAAAGTGGGGATACGGTTGGCCCTAGTTTTCTCAGGTTCCTTCTAGAGGATACACTACCTGCCCCCAAGAAGCATTAGTGAGAATTGAGAAAAAGCTGCTCTTGCTCTTCTCAGGGGGTTATTAACTGGGAGTTTCTTAGTGTTTTCCTCTCTGTGAAGAGCAGGTAACATCAGATCCTCCTGTTGCCTGTGCTAGGGATGGAGTATGAGGCAGACATCTATTATATTGAGTGTCTTCAATTCTTTAGCAGCTGGAATTAGGTTCTCCCTTTTTTAATCGGAAAGCCATTCTGGGACTTAACCTTTTCATTCAGCCTCTATTTTTATTTCTTTCCTTCTTTCTACTCTTTCTTCCAAAGAATCAGATGGGCTCTGAGGTCTAGCCAGGACTCATTACGATCAATCCATATTACTTTTTATTTTCTCCAATCCCAAGTACAGTAAATCATTCCCCTGGCTCAAATCTTTGTAATGCAGTAATCACCAAGACAGACACAGTGGCCATTCTGAGCTATAGTCGAGATATCCATATTGTTATGTAGGGCTTACACAGGGCTTCATTTGTATAATCAGTGCCCCTGCCACATGATGTATTCCTTCTGTGTCACCCTGTCCTCTACCCTGTAGCCCTTACTACCCCTTGTGACTGAAGTTTCTTCTTGGGTTTGTGCATTGCTCTTTAGGGTAAAGGTTGGGGAGCTTAGGACTCAAGTGCTCTTGTGGGAAGAATCCCGAGCTTTCGTGTGGTGAAGAGATGAGGTATGGGGCAACACGGTGGTTCCAGAAAAGCCTAATAATGTCTTGATGCATAATTAGACAGCAGACTGCCATGATTCCAAGAGAATTAATCATCATCTGTAAAACTGCAATTATTTTTCTTTTGGATGGGCTGTAATGCCAAAAGAGAGGAAATGGAAGAAAGCAGAAGTACTGGCACAGAAGGCCCATAATTAAGTATTTATCCACCAACCCATAATAGCCTGAGTGCTAACTATTCCAAAGAGCTTATATAACGATGTGAAATCTTGGTGCTGTTCCTTGCCTTCCTCTCCTGTACAGACAAGTCAAATCAATGAAGACTTTCTCCATAATACTCCTTGCTGATACCAATATCAGTGCGCTTTCCAAATATGTACTTAACCTCCACTAAACTGATGTGGATAGATTGAAATATAAAGGGGAAGGAGAAATTAGACATTGAACAAAGCATTTTCTAAAATTAGGATTAACCTCCCCTCTCTGACAGCTATTACCCACGATGGATAAAAGGACATGTTAACTAAACTGTGTCACACATAGGTGGGGATGCTACAGTGTAGGATAGGATGGAACTCTCTCAGTGTATCAACTCCTCTCCTTCATCAATGCAGGTAGTGACATAAGTTATTTGAAGATAGGAAATGAATCTTTAGGTTTCTTTTAAGTACCTCCCTGGCATGTTTAGGACCAGTACTGAAATAAGTATAGGCTGCCTACCTCTTTTTTGGTATATTAGTCCCAGGAAATTCCTAGAGAATTCCAGTTGTGGGTCAGAAAGCAGGTATTGCCAGATTCTGTGAGAAACCTCTACCAAGGAGATTCTGGTATCTTTTTTTTTTTTTTTTTTGGTGCCAGGGATTGAACTGGGGTCCTTGCGCTTGCAAGGCAGGCAGTGGAACCACTGAGCTAAATCCCCAGCTTGGATTCTGGTATCTTTCTCTCTGATGCAGACTCAAGGAGCTTGTTAAATCTCACAAGCATGAAGGAGAAAAGCTTACTCTGCCCAGGCATCTTAAGGTAGTGGGTCAGATTGAGCATCTAGTGATCACCCTGGGCTCCTTTTGCCTGGACTGCCCAGCAGCTGTGGTTGGTAAGTAAAACTGAAGACTGGATCTAAAAACCCTAACAAAACCCTCATGTCTATAAATATTGACTTCTTAAAATTCCCAAGGTTCCATTTTCCTGTGCTATAGAAGTTGTCCCAATTTTGCCTTCCAAAGTATCAGATGGGCCCATAGATACTTCCAAGAAATGCTGAGAATCAATTAGAAAATTGAGTGTGGGAGTCAGATTAAAAAAATTCATGGAACAAGAAAATAAACACAAACTTTTGTGTGCAGGCAAAAATGTTCCCTGAACTAGTTAGTAACAGAGGACAGTATGCTCATATGCCTTTAATGGTTCCCTTGATAATTTCCAACACACCTCCTACACTTCTCCTACATTTTATATTACATTAGGTTCCTGGTTTTTGACTTAAATACCTCTGTTCTTTAAAGTGAAAAAAACTTCTGTTTGAATCTTGGTTCCATCACCTTTTAACTATATAAGATAATTACTTAATAACAAATGTTTAATTGATTTATTGGCTGGGTGGATTGCTGGGTGGTAGACGGATAGAATGAACTAATGGTGATCAGGCTGACTTCTAACCCAGGAAGGAAACGGCTAACTCTTAATGTTTTTTTGTTTTATTAGAGGACAATGAGAAAAACTTGTCTCTTGGTCTCCAGACTCTCCGATCCCTGAAGGTAGGATTGGCTCCACTCTCCCTTTGATACTCCCTTTCTGAAGGAGATCCTCCCACATGGGGAATCCATAGTGAACAGTGATTCTCTTGTTTTCAGTGTATCATAAACTTGGATAAGCACCGACTGATCATGGGGAAGACTGACAAGGAAGAGATCCCTTTTGTGGAGACCATTTCTTTGAATGAAGACAAGTGAGTGCCCATTCCACAATTCAGAATGAGCAGTAGTGATACCACACAGCAGTGGAGGAAATAAGCAGCTTTTAAACCAGTGTTTTGCTTGTCTTTAGCCTATGTCCTTTGAATTTTGTATCATTTCTTCTGATGTTTCTTTCTCATTGCAGCACTTCAGAAGCATAACTGCAGCCTGCAGGATGTCTGCATTTGTGCACACACCAGGTTGACAGATTGAGATGGGTTTGAACCGAACGTGTAGCGACTTGCTGTGGACCAAGTCCCCCCTTCCAGTAGATACTCCAGGGGCTCCTTTTCCCCTAGACCTCTCTAGACTATAGTCTGTGCTTAGAGATCTTGTCTGGTGACAGCCATTGTTTTTTACTCCTTTGATCTCTTAATTCAATAGATCTTTTTGACACTGCCAGGTCTCACTTGTGGCCTATTTCTCTGCTTCTTTCCAAACTTTGCTTTTATTAGTCAAGTATAGGGGCTGCCAGGTTCTATTTCTTCATAGATACACTGCTTCTTTTCCTATACCCAAATATATAATAAATAGGAACCTGACTTTTACCTCCTTTCAGCTGTTTCAAACAGAAGTAGGAAATCTTTGTCTTGGAATTGGAATCTGCTGATTAATTCATTGATTTCTCAGGTATGAACTGAACTGAAAGAGCCTGGAGTGGTCACCTAGTCCAAACACTTCATTCAAAGGTCCAGAGAGGCAAGTGAATTCTTTAAACTCATATATTAAGTCAGTGACAGGAGGGACCTAAAACTCAGACCTGATTTCCAAGCCAGGGCTCTTGTGCTGCCGCATTTGATTTCAAGCCTTAACAGGAGGGCAAAGGAGTGAGAGTGTGTGAAAAGGGCAGAGTAGGGAAAGAATATGTTTTGGAAATGGATGCCAGGAGGATCTGAGTAGCCCTCCTTTCTGTGTGCCAAGCCCACTAGAAGTACCCTACCCAAACTATTACATTTAGGGCCTTCTTTTGATACCCAAACCTGAGGGTACAGAGATGAATCGAGGTAGTCTTTCACTGTGAACTTCTTGGAGAGGAAGAAGGGAAAGAGATCACAGAAAGATGAATATTAATCCCTGTCTGAGACATATCACTGATGGCTTTAGTAAATAATCTAGGCATCACTGTGAGACATTGATTACCCCCAAGATCCAGTCAGTTTTTCCACCCAGCCTATTATTTATCTGACAGAGACTCAAGTATCTCAAAATAGGGGTAAAGAAAGGAAATGAAAAAAACCCAGAGCAGGATTGGAATACAAGGAAGAAGACTGAGTAGAGACAAGTGGTGGTGAAGCCTACCTGGGAAAAGCTTTCTGGAATGGAGGCAGAGTGAAACTTCCAGGCAGGGAAGCTGGTAACGTTGAGAACAGTCTTTTATAACGGGCAGTATTGCCTGACTTTCTCAAAGGGTTGGGAAATCCTGGGAGTTTTTTGAAGCTTTTTTTTTTGGAGTGTCAATTTAGGCACACTAGTACAGTGGACCCTTGACTCAAAAACTTGATCAGTTCACAAGGGCTAGTTGTAACTCAGTTTGGCTGTAAGTCAGGACAGCTGAGATCTGGATGTTTACCTGGGTACATACTATAGATAACAAGAGGTAGATGAATCTTCCATTAACCTAATTAACCCAAGTTGTTCATATGTCAGGCTGGTTGTAACTTGAGGGTCCACTGTACCTGTAATGGAATCTCCCATTCAGTTCAGTCATAGAAGTATTTGGATGAGTCAGAAAAGTACCCGGCTGTATTCCTTTAAGATATTCCCAGGTCCACATTTGGTTCATAGCAATAGTTTTCAGGGTGTTTAATGGACTCCACTTTGAATCTTGCCGGGTACCACCAACCATCGTGTCCATTCATTGTTCAGTTATTGCCCTTACCAAGCATTTCTTTGAACCCTGAATTTGGCCTCACATAATCTCCTAAAAACTGGGAATTTGGAGACCCCCATTTGAACAACCAGGCAGTCAGTTGTCACTGGGTCATTCCATGGGCTGTCCGTCTCAATAAAGGGAGCAAAACAAAAACTAAGCAAGGCCATCCATAATAGGGAAGCAACACCGGAAGCTCAGCAGAGGTGATCCTAGGACTGCCAGCCTTCAGCCTGGCTCCAGCTACGCTCCCTTTCCTTACGTAGGACGACTTGCTCCTTCCCACCAAGGCCTCTCTACACTGCTCCCCTACCTATCATGGCAACACTTTGGCCTGCTTCTTCTCCTAGGATGGAGCTAAAACTCTTTGCCCCGTCCCTCACTTCTTAAAAGTTCTACTCCAAGCCTTGACTCTTGGCCACAAGTGATACATGGTGCAGGTTCCTTCTGGTTTATCCTTATTTGATTCCCTGTGGACTAAGCGAGGCCAGGAACACTCAGGTTCTGCAAAGATGCACCCGAGTCTGGGCCTTTGCATTCAGGGTTATAATGCATCCTAGGGATGATGAGATGGTCTTTAGTGATCTTTCTGGCCTCTGAAAATCAGTTTGTGATTTTCCACTTTGAGAATAAAAACAGCTAAGGTGAAGTGGGCTTCAGATATCATAATTTCAATATATTCAAACCACTTGGAATTCTCTAACCAAATAATTATGTTTTAAACCCTAGGCTTGATAGAGCACTTTAAAATATCTAAAGATAATTTCAGGAAGCCTTGTGATTCATTAACCTTCAGATGTTGTCAAATTGACTACTTTGATAGCCTCCGTTTTCCTGATGTTGTACATCTGGGGCCTGGCAAGGCAAAAAGCTGAGGTCAGTTCTTCCCAGTCTTAGGAAATTCTTTTGCCTTGGAGAGAATGAGAGAAAGAATGTGTATCCAGGTCACTGTTTTCGGGAATACCACAAGAAGTACCAGAACCTATCTATTCCTTATTAGATGACCAACTCAAGTACAGGAAGTTTGAAAAATATTTTTATTGTTTGGTATTTCTATGCCTGACTCATTTGAGGAGCGAGTATTTTATGACTTTTCTATTTCCTTGCCCTGCACAAGACCCCACCTGGTATGATTTTGTATTTCTTAGCTCAGATTGCCCATCCTATAGATTACCCAGTACATCAGCTGCCCTCACTCTTGTGTAATAGAAATATCTCTCTAGGCCAGGGACACGGAGGAGATGAACTGGATTCCTCCTTCCTTCCATTGCCAACCTCTCTGCAATGGCACTTTATCTGCTCAGTGTTTTCTGGCTGTCAGGATTATTTGTGAGACTGATATAACAATAAAGTGAAATCTCCCCTCTGTGTGCTTGTCTGACATTGTCTGTGTTGGGGCATAATCTGGTACGTGGGGGAGCCTAGGACCAGCCTAATTGCATCTTGTTTCTCTTAAGGTCTTCTGAGCACAAGGTTTTGTGGTTTTTGATTCCTTCACTGCTTCTGGTCCTTCAGCTCCCTCTTATGGCAGATTAGTGAATTTACTAAATTTGGGTTTGTAGTCTGGAAAACAGAATTATAGTAACTCAGTGTCAAGTGATATAAGTCATATAAGATGTCTAACATATAGTCATACAAAGCTTTATATATGAGAACAGTATTAGAGTGGGTCAAACAATAGTATGGAAGAGAACACTTCTAGGAAGGGAGAAATATTTAGTTGAAACAGGAGAGATTTGGGAAGAAAAAGAGTTGAATTAACTTTAATATATAGTTAAACCCACTGTCCAAATGGCATTCCAAGTAAATGAATTTTACAGGTGATAAAAAAACTTACATTTTAAATATTAATATTTTTAATATTTAAACTGTGGTTAAACAGTCAACAAGCAGCATGCTTTAACTCTGAACAATAGTTATCACAACTTAGAATTATGTTTGACTACTCAAAGGATGCTGCTGTCTACATTAAAAGGTTTTCTAACATGTCAATAAATTTACCTGACCTGACTCTTTAATAACAAGTAACAGAATCTATATTTTTAATAGTTTCAGAAGAACAAAAAAAAGTTCTAATTAACTATTTTCTCAGAGATCTTTTTATTCAGAGTGATATAGGCTGGGTGTGGCATAGACTGAGGCTGCCAGATGCCTGACCAGAGTGGAGAAAAGGCTGGGTCATTGCCTTTTTAAAGGTAGTGACTTATTCAAAGGTTCTTGCAACCTGACAGCTCCAGGTCTTTCTTTGCAGCACTTTTTTTCTCACAGTCTTTCATGGGACCAATACCTCATTCAGCAAACCCTAGCCCCCATAATAATCAGAGGGGATTTTAATGCTGGCATTCCTTTTACTGGAGCCAGAGTAGCCTCCAAATTTATAATTAATATAGGAAACCTAACTGTCCAGAGAACCCAGACACTCCAGTCCTGCCAATGGCCTCAAATAAGAGAAATAAGATTGGGAAGTTCGGTTGATTTAGTAGAGGTGCTCCTGTTTGTTAGGGGAGAGACATGAAGACAAAGGGAGTAGGAGGACAAACAGATCATCTGTATGGTAATCTTGGATTTAAAAAAAACCCTGCTTTCATCACATCTGGGAATTTTATGAAATGCTGGGTTTCTTGGACACACTGGATGACCTTGTACTTGGCAGGGGAAGGTGTTATAGTGATTCTCATCTTACCTATCTGGAACCAGGTAACAACATACAAATTGATTGGTGCTGGGGCAGACTGTATGATGAAGCAATCACCCTGTTCCGAAACTCCTACAGAAACCCCCACACATATACATATCTGAGCTCATACTAGTTTCTCAGTGGTTCATAGGAATGACTTACAAACAGAAAGTGCTGTATATTAAATAGGTTTCATTAAGACCAATTGGAGCACAAGGGTACATGAAAGGTACCTATTGGAAGGTCTGAGGAATCCAGGAGGATCCAGCTGTGATGGTCCACAGAGTTATAGAAATGGCAAGGTTCAGTATTGGCAGGTAATGTGTGAGGAGAAGAGTAGACAATCCTATTTCCCTCGTCCATTCTGCTAGATCAGAGGTCGGCCAGCTTTTCCTGTAAAGGGCCAGATATTTTTGGCTTTCTGGGGCAGTCTTTTGGAACTACTCAATTCTGCCATCATAGCATGAAAGTAGCAATAGGCAAAATTTTATAGAAGTTTTGAATGTCGCAATATAATATCTTTAGGGGCCAGGGATTTAGCTCAGTAGTGCCACTGCCAGCCTTGCAAGTTAAGTGCAAAGTACTGAGTTTGATCCCCAGTACAAAAAAAAAAAAAAAATTTAGACTTTTTTTTTTCTCTACCACTTAGAAGTATAAAAATTATCTTGCATACTGTATAAAATAGGGTTTGGTTGCAGGCTATAGATTACTGTTATGTCCTAAATTATTTCATATTTTTCTATTTTCTCCTCAAATTCCAACACTTCTTTCCCCATTTCCACTTTGCTTTTGTTTTTTGTATCGGGGATCGAACTTGGGTCCTTGCACCTGAACCACTGAGCTAAATCCCCAGGCCCCCATTCCCACTTTGAAATAATGACTTTGCTTTCTACTTCATTCATGAAGTAATTAGAACACCCACCACTGGAATTTGAGAAGAAAAGAGAAAATCTGTGCTAAGTGACCTAAGCCAGGCACAGAAAGACAGATACCGTATGATCTTACTTACATGTGGGATCTAAATCAAATTTTTAGAATCACAGAGTAGAATGGTGGCTACTAGAGGATGGGGGCTAGAGAGAATAAGGAAATGTTAGAGTGTACAAAGTTTCAGTGGCTAGGTGGAATATGTTTTTAAAGATATAATGCACAGGATGGTGATTATAGCTAATAATATTATATTGCATGTCTCAAGAGTTGTTGAATGAATTTCATATATTCTCACCACAAAATTTTTTGGTGCCTGTGTATTTAACATGATGGATATGTTAATTAGCTTGATTTAATCATCCCCATAACATCACTTTGACCCCCATTATATAATTTTTTATTTGCAATACCATTTTTTTTTTTTTGATATAGGGTCTCACTATGTAGCCCAGGCTGGTCTCGAACTCACAGCGATCCTCCTGCCTCAGCCTCCTGAGTGCTGGGATTACAGGCGTGCGCCACCATGCCCAGCATTATCACTTTAAAATTAAAAAAAAATTTTTTGAAGGGAAGGTAGACAAAGTGCTCTAGTAAATTTAGAACATGAAATAGAAATTTTAAAATTCAAAAGCAGAGTTGGTATTGGAAATCCTTCAGGAAAACAAAAAGATTGAAATGAAGGGTAAAATTATCCCAGGACAAAAGCTGTGAGTAGGTATAGAGAACAACCAATCCAAAGTAAAGGACAATGAAGGTCTCTGGGACCAGTCTTTAATTTAAAAAAACAAATAGGCTACCTGATGTGTCTGAATGTTTTGAGAGATCTTGGGATAAACTATACATACTTAAATGCCAGGTAGTTAATAAAAGTTTGAAGGGAGAAAAAGGCAATGGTTAGTTTCTACCCAAAAAAAGGAAATGTAATCATGTTATGCTAATTAGATCAACAGATGAAGTATGCCTTTAAAATAAAACAGCCTTACTTGATATGCATATATTGAGGGATAGAAGATGCAGAGATAATACATTGTTTTTGAGAAGGCTTTAGTATATGAAAGCATTTATTTTAGCAAGAAGTAAAATAATAGCCCAAACTGAAAAATTAAGTACATAAACACGCTACTTAAAAATATGGAGATCCCAAATAGTTACAAGTTTAAAAAGAAATCATCTTTGGGGAATAGAAACTGAGAGTGTAGAGGGCTGGGGTAGGACCTACTGTTTTTCAGTATAAGTCTAGTGATACTATTTGATTTTTTTAAAAAGTGTGTTATGTTGATAAAAAATAAATCACTAATGTATTTGAAAAATTAGTGATCAGAGAGGAGGGACTGTTCTCTTCCCTCTAAAATAGATAATATTCTGGCCCCACCATTGATGTTATGGTGGGCACTAGGAAATGATGACAAGGTACAGCACACTTATGTGGCTTTATAGGCAGCAGAAAACATCACTAACTAGGGCTAAGTACAGGGATCATCTTAGCAGACATGCCTGATGGAGAGAGCTCATTTAGGGCATTCCCATGATATGCTAAGAAATAGCTGCAAGAACTTGTGGGTGTGTCCTGCCATAACCACTGAACAGTTCAGGAAATAATCGATACTGTGCATGACTCCAGTTGTCTGGATTGATGTGGCCTGAAAAGTGGACAGAATGAAAAGAGAAGGACCATGTAGAAATATAATCGAGTACTAGAGAAGACTGTGGACGAGGAGCTCAGACAGCTGGCAAAGCCTTGGTCCCAGATACATTTGTCCCAGATACATATATTGTCACCTCTGCTTCCTAATTTTCTAACATCCTCACTTAAATTTAGAGGCTTCTTTTGCTTTCTGCATAATCCTCCACCACATCATTTTTCAGGCCTCACAAAGAAGTGATAGGGCCCCGGTTAGGTGGGAGGGTACACTTGCATCTGTGTCACTCAAAAGGAATGCAGTAGGGAAACCTAGTTACAGGGAAGTAAGGAAAAGGGCAGGAGAGAGTGGATACTAAGGCCAGTCCTCCTTGTAAACAGAATGATTCCAGTTTTCCAAGTCCCAGGAAGATCTTAGGTCAGAAATCACCCTCTATGGTGACCCAGATCCAGATCCCATTTGTACTTCAGGCATCTCAGCATCACCTCTCATGGTCAGGAAGAAATCAAGCAAGTAAGTACCTGATATGCTTTCCGACCAACTCGGGAAGCTTCTCCCATTCCCTTTTTCCCTCTCCCTGGCCCCCATATTTATTGTGGTGATCTCAGTCTCCAGGTACAAAAATAAGGTCATTATGTTCAAAGGGCTCACAGTACTTTGGTGGAGATTTGAAGTGTAAAGATAGATACAAAACCATAATTTTACCAAAATGAGGTAAGTTAGGAAAGATTTGCAGAAACTGAAGAGAGTTCATTATCAGAGAAGGCTTTCTAACAAGACCCTTGACCAAAGGAAAGAGTAATCAAGGTCTAAGCAGGGCATAGTGAGATGAACTAATATTTTACATTTCTGTCGCCTTACCTGAAATTATTTTCATTTGTTGACAGGCATATCTTTCTGTAGCCCTCATTTCTACCTTGACAGTTCCTCCCTTTCATCCTTGTTTTCACCTCAACCTTACTCTTCATTCTCTAGTCAGGCAGCCCCCGTTAAAAGTCACACTCCAATAACGGCAGCCAAATGTGTGGTCTGCAACAGTGCTGCCTAATATATGTAGAAAGCTTTCTAGCAGCCAAATTTAAGGAGCAAAAGTTAAAAATGTAATAATATATTTTATTTATCCCAATATATCCAAAATATTTAAACTTCAGTCAATACTTTTAGGAATTTACATGTTTTTTTTTAAATCTTTAAAATTTATTGTACTGTGTATTTTACATTCACACTATAGCTCATTTCAAACTAGCCACATTTCAAATCTGCACTTGCCACAGGTAGTAGTAGCAGCACAGTGCATGCAGTTTTAAAGTCTGTCTTGGACAGGGTGGCTTTAAAATTCTGCCTAGAAGGGCTGGGGATTTAGCTCAGTGGTTCCACTGCCTGCCTCGCAAGCGCAAGAACCCGAGTTCGATCCCCGGTACCAACAAAATAAATAAATAAAATTCTGCCTAGAGTGAGTGTATTTGGGGTTTCTCCATTAAACACCTGGTGCCAGCCAGGTGTGTTGATGACTACTTGAGAGGATGAAGTGGGAGGATCACCTGACCAGCCTGGGCAACTTGGTGAAAGTTGATCTCCAGTAGATTAATTAAATAAAATAAATAAATCCAGATGAGGCCCCTTTAAGCCTCTGTATACTCATGAAGGCCTTGAAAACAGTTGTGGAGCTGGAAAAGAATATAAGGTTTCAGCTAGAATGAGCACTTCCTTTAGATGTCAGAACTAGATAACCCTAAAACTAATTCCAAATTTGCTGCGGAATCACTTTCAGCGACCAGATAGATCGACAGTGCCTCACCAATACACTTGACCCCAGCCTGTCTCCAGATTGTCCTCTGGCCGGCAGAACACCCATTACAAAGACCGGATGATTCACCAGTATGACAGCATCTTCACAGGAGCCTGCTAAGACATCATCTAACCCTGCTATTCCGGCTCGTTGCCATTTGGGATCGAAAAGGGCTAAATATATTTGGTGCAAATAGCAAACACCTTCTTGTGTTAAGAGTGTAGCCTAGCAGCAACAAGGGTCACGTGGGAGAAAAATACTGAGAAAATTCTACCTGTTAATTAAAACACCTTCACAAACTAGGAGAGGACTTTTAAAATCTATTTGGAGGAAACAGGAATCACGGGAGTACATTTTGAGGCTGATAAAGTTCGGTCCCCTCATATTGAGACAAGAATCAGAGACCAAGAGAAATGATTTACCCAAGGTCATTCAGCAAATTTCTAGAGGTTGGGATGCGCCCCGCATCTCTTCCGCAACCCCAACGTCTCCACTAACTGAAAAATACTTTAATGGAGACATTATGCCATCTCCAGGGCTCTCCTAAAGTACCCGTGGTGGAAGACGCGCTCTGGGGAGTGGGGTTTCCCAGCTGTCTTAGGAATCAGCCGCCCTGAACCGGCACTGCCTCGCCGGGGCGCAGCAGCCGGATTCCCAGCTCCTGGGATCCAGGGCGGAGGGTGCGGCTGGGGCGCTCTGCAGCCAAGTCCACACATTCG